AGGGGGCTCTCAGGCCACCACAGGTGCCCCAGACACGAGTGACATCGAGCTGGCCACACCTACTCTGGCCACACAAGGTCAAACACAACCCTGATGCGGCCCTCCATGAAATCGAGTTCGACACTAGAGTCTCCACATCTTTTTTTTAATGTTGCGGTGACCAAAACTGGATGCAGCATTTCCAAGCGTGGTCTTCCCATGGCGTCGTAAAGCCCTAGTAACACTTCATGAAGCTTTCCTCCCCGCTCACGCAACACAGGCCAGATGGTCCTCCGTCACCCGCTCTGTGTGTGTGTGTGTGTGTGAGAGAGAGATTTTTTTTCAGCATTTCATTAAAAGGGATGTTTAAAAGCAAGAGCCCGGGCTGTGCCATCTCTACGACGTCCACGGTGGGCTGAAGGATTGAGATCCGTAATGGAGCTGCCAAGCCGGAGACATCTTAATGACTGAAGTCTCCATAAATAATTGAGTCCTCGTAGCCGAAGCCGAGCAACCTTTGGCCTCTGTATTATTCATCTCCCTTAATAAAATGTTCTGGTGGGTACACGGAGAATCAACAAGGGTTTTAGTCAATGCTCAGGACGGTGTTGATATTGGAACCGATTAATGTTGTCTGCTGGTAACAAATGATAAATGGCCGCCTTGTCAGACCGTCTGGCTTGGCGCCTGCAGCCTTACACAATCATTTGTATATCAGCTGAGGCTTCCTACTCGCTTGCCACCCCGCGGTGATGTATCATCATCAATTCTTTGCAAAAGATGGGAGTTCGGTAAATAGCCGCCCGCTGCTGAAAGCTAACGAGATATTTATTTTTTGGGGGGGTGGGGGTGGGGGGAGTTTGAATTGCAAAGGTCAGTTATGCATATTTGATCTAGATTGCTTCTGAGCTGAGTGTTTTGGGTTTTTTTAAGTAAAAAAACAGCCTGAAATTCCAAGGTGGTAATTTAACAATATGGCAGGACTGTCTTCCTTCCTTCCTTCCTTCCTTCCTTCCTTCCTTCCTTCCTTCCTTCCACCCTCCCTCCCTCTTCTCTCTTTTCCTCCCTTCCTTCCGTCCTTCCTTCCTTCCTTTCTTCCTTCCTTCCTCCCTCCCTCCCTCCTTCTTCTCTCTTTTCCTCCCTTCCTCCCTTCCGTCCTTCCTCCCTCCCTTCTCCCTTCCCTTTCTTCCCCTCTTCTGCCTTACTTCCTTTTTCCTCTTTCCCTCCCTTCTTTATCATCCCTCCCTTCCTCCACCCGCCCTCCCTCTTCTCTCTTTTCCTTCCTTCCTTCCTCCCTTCCCTTTCTCCCCTTCTTCTGCCTTCCTTCCTTTGTTCCTCCTTCCCTCCCTTCCTCCTCCTTCCCTCTCTCTTTCCCATCCTCCCTCCCTCTTCCCTCTTTTCCTTCCTTCCTTCCTCCCTCCCTTCCTTTTCTCCCTTTCTCCCCCTCTTCTGCCTTCCTCCCTTTGTTCCTCCTTCCCTCCCTTCTTTATCCTTCCCTCTCTCTTTCCCATCCTCCCTCCCTCCCTCTTCTCTCTTTTCCTTCCTTCCTTCCTCCCTCCCTTCCCTTCAGGGTCTATATATTGCTTAATAGGAAAGTCAAAAATAGACTGGAGCTGTATTCTCCAGAATTATTGCCATTATCATCTTGAAGAAGAATTTCCCAGAGATTTATCTCATCAAGACCTGGGCTCCAATAGAGCTTTTAAAATTCTCTACCAGGTTGGTATGCGGAGAAATGTGAAGAGTTTCTTTGAATTTTTTCCAAGGAACTACTCCCATAATTTATCAGTTATAGCAACTTTTAAATTCATGGCTAATTTAAAATAAAATAACTCCTATAGTCATCTTCCTTTGGAATGTAATGGAAAATAAGACATTAGAGAAGCTGTCTTTGGAGAGACTTGTGCAGTGAAGGATAAGTGAAAACACACCTCTTGGCCACTCACATTCTCTTCTGCTTTCAAATATTTTCATAAAGCAAATTCTCATCAAATTGAATGATGAATTCGATGGCACGAAAAAGCATATGAGCTTTTTTTCACCTGCTGCTTAGAGTCAACTCCTTAGGTCCTCTTTCCCTCTATCCTTTCCTGATGAGAAAAATAAATATAAGAAACAAAAGCAACTCACAAGTAACACATTTTCAAACCATTCCAATAGATCAGTATTCCCTGAGTGCATGAACAAAATTTATACCTATAAGGTAACTAAATCCAAAATTCCAGGGGGAAAATATTTTGGATATAGATAATAGCATCTGTATGGATACAGGTAGGTATCTTTTATGTGAATACCTCAAAAAATGCATCTTTTCTAACTCATTAGACTTAATGAAATTAAAGAAACCCACCTTTATCTTCCTAATATGTTACCCCCCTCTCTTTTTTTTAGCTAAGTCCCTATTTTTTGTTGTGTGAATGACCCAACCTAGGGGAGGCAAATATATAGGAACAAATCAGGGCTGGGTTCTAAAAATGTTTATTACCGGTTCTGTGGGTGTGGCTTATTTTGTGGTGTAGCTTGGTGGTAATGTGACTGGGTGGGCGTGGCCAACTTTTTTTTTTTTACTTTTAAAAGCATTTTTTCTACAACCTTAAGAGGTTGCAGAAAAAAATGCTTTTAAAAGCCTCTGACGATCAGGCAACTCAGCTGGGATCGTCAGAGGCTTTTAAAGGCATTTTTTTTCTACAACCTCTTCAGTGGGGTAAGTGAGCGCTGACCGGGCCAGGGACCGTTTTGGAGGCATGGCCAGCCAATGTTATTACCAGTTCTCCAAACTACTACAAATTTTTACTCCCGGTTCTTGCAAACCAGTGCGAACCGGGAGCAACCCACCACTGATACAAATGTTTAGCCTGAGGAGCATTACAGTAGGCCAAAAATTACATTTTGACAGAACCAAAGATGCAGTGTGTGGCATAATACAAGATGTTTTAGCAGGATTCAACAAAAGTACATGAATAGTTAATATGGAGGTAAATAGAAAGATTAGAGTTACACATTTTATTATTTATCTTGGAAGTTACTGCTTAATAACACAATAAGTATTGAAAGTCCCTTGTAGTTATCACAGAAAACAAAGCTACAGCTGAGAATACTTTTTTTTATATGTAGATAGTCTCTGATAAAAATAACACTGTAGCCCTAGAAAGTAAAGCTGAACAGCAAATAATTACACAGCTAGATGAACCAACAGCACATACAACTCTTTGGAAAGCTGTTTCTAGTCAAAATGATCCAATTCCCTACCTAAACCTGATGGTAGAGCTAATTAGTCCACCTTTTCCAATGTAGGTAATTTTGCATGCATTCATGCAAAAATCAATTCACTCCTGTTTCCACATTGTTTTGTAATCTGTTTCTCTGTCCACATGAATGCTCACATTATAATATATATGATCTGTTTGAAAATAGCTTTTAAAGGCACAATGAATGCATGAATTCTGATCTTCACATTAGCCTGGGGAATGTGAATCAAGTCCGTTTGTAATAAAATCAACCAATATTGAATTCCTGAAGTATTACAACTTAAAAACCACTTTATAATGCCTTGGTAAGGCCACCCTTGGAATACGGCATCCAGTTTTGGTCACCACGATGTAAAAAAAAAAAAAAAAGATGTTAAGACTCTAGAAAACAGAGAAGAGCAACAAAGATGATTAGGGGACTATGTGTGGACTTCAACTCCCAGAATTCCCCAGCCAGCAGAGCTGGCTAGGGAATTCTGGGAGTTGAAGTCCGCACCTCGTCCAGCGGCCAAGGTTGAGAAACACTGCTCTAAGGTCATGTGCCTTTGTGTGTTGTTTTACTAGCTTCTGATGTTGACTTCGAGTTTCTGGCAAACAACGTCCACTGGGAAAAACAGACTTTCTTAATGACTGCAGTGCTCACTTAATAACTGTGGTTTTTGCTTAATGACTGCGCCATTAGCTGAACGGCCGTCACCACAAATATAGGTAATAGAATCAGGTGACTTGATAATTCCCGGAAAGTAATACAGGTAGTCCTGGATTTACGACGATAAATTGAGGCTAAAATTTCTGTCGCTAAGGGGGACATTTGCTAAGTTACTTTTCCCCCATTTTACGACCTTTCTTGCCACAGTTGTTAAGCGAATCACTGCCGTTGTTAAGTCAGTGACGTGGTTGTTGGGTGAATCCGGCTTCCCCATTGACTTTGCTCATCCGAAGGTCGCAAAATGGGATCACCTGACTCCGGGACGCTGTAACGGTCATAAATACGAGTCAATTGCCCAGCATCTGAATTTTGATCACGTGACCAGACCCTGTTGGGTTCTCTTTTAAGGCGGAGTTCCCCATACTTTTCAGGTTGGCGGCCCAGAGCAGTGGGAGGGGGGAAAGAGGGGATGGTTTTATGCCTGCACAGTGACAGTCGTGCGAGTGGGGCTGCGAGCAATGAGGCTCGCGTGAGTGGGACCGCGAATACTTACGGCAACGCTCGTGTTTTGTCCCAGCTCCCCAAACGACAAACCCTCTGAAGTTAACAGATTCCTGTGTTAGGAGCACCGGCAGCCCTGGCAAAAAGTTCTCACCGCAGGCTAACAAGTCCGGCCAGCCGGAAGATGAATAGTTGTCTGTCACATCTATTCATCTCCGCCCCCTGCCTTTTATCCCCAGAGCTAGGGTGAGGCCTTGCTAGCAGCAGTGGCTCTTCTGTCCCAAGGACCGGCCCATAGATTTCCACTGCTCTCCTCTCCTCTGCTTTCTGTGCATCTGCGTGTCAGGCACAGGACCCAGCTGTTCCTCCTCTTCCTCATCAGCCACCTCCAGACCTGTGGGTGTTGACTCTCTATCTGAGGGCTGACAGACGGCCCTCTCTCTCTCCCTCTCCCTCCCTCCCTCTCTCTCCCTCCCTCCCTCCCTCCCTCCCCCTCCCCCCCGCTCCAGTTCCCCTTCCCCCTCGGAGCTCTCACGTTGCCTTGATGCTGACCTTGACTCCCACGCCCCTCCTCCTCCTCCTCCTCTGATTCAGCTGCCGGAGAGGCTCGCGGCGCGACAGGCCACAACAGCTTGCGCAAGTGGGGCCATATGGACGTGCGCCCTCTGGCTGGCCACTCGTGGCTCAGTGGTCATCAGGTCGCGGCCCACAAGTTTGGGATCCCTGTTTTAAGGCTAACCTGCATTTCGGATTTTGTTCTTGGCACAGAAATTGGTCAAGGCGATATCCCGTCCTTCTACACGTACGAGGAAGGCTTGTCGCGTTTAACAGCTGAGGGTCAGGCGACTTTGGAAAGGCTGGAGGGCATGCTGGCCCAGTCCATAAGCACTCAGTACCACATGGCTGGGGTGCGAACGGAAGATACTCTGAGGGACTTTGAAGGTACGAATTCAGCTTGCGGCTTTTCTTGGGCGATTTTGGTATGTTTGAAGGGCCGTTTCCCGTCAGAATTTAAGGCAGGCGCCTCCAAACTCAGCAAGCGATTTTTGCCGTTCCACACAAGTCTCTTCTTGTGTCGAGTAGTAGAGAAATCCGCCTGATCGTTTTCAACTAACTCCGCTTCCATCTGATGATCGGGATTGGGATGCGGATGCAGTCGTTAAGTTTATAACACGGTTGTTAAGCGAATCGCTGCAGTTCAGTTTATAACACGGTTGTTAAGCAAATCACTGCAGTTATTAAGTTTATAACGGTTGTTAAGTGAATCACTAGTCATTAAATTTATAACACGGTTGTTAAATGAATCACTGCAGTCATTAAGTTTACAACATGGTTGTTAAGTGAATCTGACTTCCCCATTCACTTGGCTTGCCAGAAGGTCGTAAAAGGGGATCACATGACCTCAGGACACTGCAACCGTCATAAATATTAGTTAGTTGCCAAGCATCTGAATTTTGATCACGTGACCACGGGGATGCGGCAATGGTCGTACGTGTGAAAAACGGTCATAAATCCCTTTTTCAGTGCCCTTGTAACTTTGAACAGTCAGTAATCAAACAATTATTAAGTCAAGGACTACCTGAATTATTTGTGCCCTACAAGTGGACGGAATTACAGAAGGTTCTGGAACAGAAGTTACTTGCTGCATTTAATATTCTTTTTATTTTCTCAAATAATCTGCATTTACCTACCCCTAAGTAGCTGGTGTCACAAGGGATGTGGTGGCTCAGTGGCTAAGATGCTGAGCTTGTCGATCGAAAGATCGGCAGTTCAGCGGTTCGAATCCCTAGCGCCGCGTAACGGGGTGAGCTCCTGTTACTTGTCCCAGCTTCTGCCAACCTAGCAGTTCGAAAGCACGTAAAAAATGCAAGTAGAAAAATAGGGACCACCTTTGGTGGGAAGGGAACAGCGTTCCGTGCACCTTTGGCATTGAGTCATGCCGGCCACATGACCACGGAGACGTCTTCGGACAGTGCTGGCTCTTCGGCTTTGAAACGGAGATGAGCACCGTCCCCTAGAGTCGGGAACGACTAGCACATATGTGCTAGGGGAACCAACAAATTCCCCTCCCATCAGCACCTCCTTACAGCTCAGTCCCCAGGTGTGCCTTGTGAAGGGGGGCAGGGCACTCTCCTCCCTCCTAGCCAGCTCACTCTGCGTTGTTCTCGCTTCTTTCTTCTCTCTGTGCTCTAGGATCAGGAGAGGGTGATCCTTGCTCTTCTCCTGAGTTCTGTCTCTCCTGCTTCTCCCTGTCTGCAGGCCTTACTAATCCTGAAAAGCCTTACCCGGACTGAATCTGCCCTTCCCCAGTTTCCTCCAAGGCCAAGTGAGCCACCCTCTCATCTCTGTTCCACGCTTATCTCTCTCAAGGCTGTATCCCAGGGTTACTTACAGCAGCCGAGGGGAGTGACCTATAACCGAATGTGATTGATGACACACCCTGGGGGGGAGGGGGGAAACAAGGTCATAATTGGAGGGTAAATTACATAGGGTCAGAGCTGGCTTCATTTGGGAACGTGCGGACATGAAGCTCTTAATAAATAACTGGGTTTCTTTTGAAGCTTAGCTCAAGTTTCATGATTTAGACTCCGACGGGGGCCATGACAATTCCGTTGCTGTTTTTGCTTTCAGATGGAATGGAAGTTGACGCGGCCCCAGTAGTTACGGGACAGTTTGAAGATGCCGATGTTGATCATTAAAGGAAGGTAGGAACGATGGCCAGGTTGACCCTCCTAATTGTCTCTCCTGTTGAGCCCCTGGCTTCATTTCCTTGCTTTACCTCAGAACAGTATTTCCAGTTTGGACAAATAATCCCATTAAAAACTGGACAAATAATCCAGTTAAAAACCCTAACCTTCTGCTTTTCAGCTGTTAAGTGAATCCTGTCAGCGTTCCAAGTAATGCACCCATTGAAAGCAGAACTCCGAGGCAGGTAGATTCCTCAAAGAACAATTTATCGGATACATCATATTGGCACGTGTCTGGTAAAAACCATCTCTGAAAGTTCTCGTTTTCACCTACTGTATTTTTCGGACTATAAGACGCACTGGTGTATAAGACGCGCCAAGATTTTGAAGAGGAAAACAAGAAAAAAAATAGTTTTTGGCCTCTGCGCGTCCGTTTTTTGCCCTCCCCGACCCCCAGGAGCACTGTGCAGGCCTCCCAAACCCTCTGTGCATCCCATTTTTGCAAAAAATGGGTCCATTTTTGGCAAAAACGGGATATGCGGGGCAGGGTTTTGGGAGGCCAAAAATGGCCGTATTCGGTGTAGAAGACGCACCGATATTTCCACCCTCTTTTAGGGTTAGGGTTATTTCCCCCCCCCCCCCCCCAGGTCATCGGTCACATTGTCCAATAGTGGTGCTGGCAGGTTGCCTGGTTACTCCACTCCTCCTTTTCTCAGCCACCTCTTGGAATGACCTTGGTTCCCACAGGAAAACTTTTTCTTTTGACGGCCAGGCCAAACTATCTAAGATTTTCCCCCGTCCTTTCTCCCCCTTTGCCTTGCGGCAATCGTGAAAGATGGTCTCAGCCAGGCTCGCTTCAGGGTTGAAAAATCTTTTGTTTGTTAAGTGAATCCGGCCCCCCCCCCCCCCCCCCAACTGACTTTGCTCGTCAGAAGGTTGCAAAACGGGGATCTCGTGACCCCGGGACAGTGCGACCCTCCTACGCACCAACTGCCTGATTTTGTTCACCTCACTATGAAGGATCCGTGACGGACATAAGTATAAGTCACATTGTTTTTCAGCACCGTTGTAACATTGAATGGTCGCTAAACAAACGGTTGTAAGTGGAGGACTACAAGTGGAGGGCTTGTCAAGTTCTCTACTTACGACCACATTCTGTTGTTAAATGAGACATTTGTTAAAGGAGTTTTGCCCCCTTTACGATTTTTCTTGCCTCTGTTGTTAAGCGAAACGCCACAGTTGATAACTTAGTAATACGGCTGTTAAGTGAATCCGGCTTCCCCGTTGACTTTGCTTATCAGATGGGCACAAAACGGGATCACGTGACCCCGGGACACTGCAACGGTCACAAATATGAGGGAGTTGCCAAGCGTCCGAATTTTAATCACATGACCATGGGGAGGATGCTGGGATGGTCGTTAAGTATGACAAATGGTCCTGAGTCACTTTTTTCTGTGCCTTTGTAACTTCGAACAGTCACTAAATGAACTGTTGTAAGTCGAGGGCTACCTGTATGGCAAAGGCCCATGGAACATTGTTGCCTTCCCACCGGTGGTACCCATTAATCTACTCGCACATGCAGGTTTTCGAAACTGCTAGGATTCTACACTCTGAGCTTTTCTTTTTTCAAACATTTTTTATTAAATTATTAAGTATTATAAAATATAAAAGTAAAAAGAGGAACATGAAGGAAGGAAGGGAAAGAGGAAAGGGAAGTGGGGAAGGGTAGGAAAAAGAAAGAAAAAAGCATTGACTTCCGACGTCCCTTTGTTGTAGTAAAATAAAACTTCAAATTACAGCTTTTTTGTTTTTCCATAATAATATAAACAAGTCATCTCTATAAAGATCTATCTGTCTAATCTGTAAAACCCAAAGTGAAAGTTACATTTTTTCCCATATCAAGCATGAAATTCAGAAGCGGTTTCCATGTGGCAACAAAAGTACTTATATTTATATTATTTGAAAAAAGCTTACTTGAAAAGAAAACTAATGGGAAACTGTGTCAGGAGATGTCTGGTGCTGGATGGGTGTGTTATGTTGTAAGGCTGCGTTCTTGTTACCCGTTTTCTTTCTTTCTTTCTTTCTTTCTTTCTTTCTTTCTTTCTTTCTTTCTTTCTTTTCCCTCCCTCCCTCCTTCCTTCCCGCCCTTTCTTTTTTTTCCTTCCTTCCTTCTCTCCCTCCCTTCTTTCTTCCTTCCTTTTTCCTTTTTCTTCCTTCCTTCCTTCCCTCCCTTTTTCTTCCTTCTTTCTTTGTCTTTCCTTCCTTCTTCCTTCCTTCCTTCCCTTTTTCTTCCTTCCCTTATTTTTCTTTGTCTTTTCCTTTCTTCCTTCCTTCCCTCCTTCCCTTTTTCTTTATTTTTCTTCCTCCCTCTTTCCTTCCTTCCCTCTTTTTCTTCCTTTCTTCCTTCCCTTTTCTTCCTTTTTTTCTTTCTTCCTTCCCTCCCTTTTTCTTCCTTCTCTTTTTCTCTTTCTCTTTCCTTCTTTCTTCCTTCCCTTTTTCTTCCTTCCCTTTCTTATTTCTGTCTTTCCTTCGTCTTCCTTCCTTCCCACCCTGCCTCCCTTTCTTTCTTCCTTCCTTCCTTCCCTCCCTCTTTTTCTCTTTATTTTTCTCCGTCCCTCCCTCCGCCTTTCTTTTTTTTCTTTTTCTCTTTATTTTTCTCCCTCCCTCCCTCCGTCTTTCTTTCTTTTTCTTTTTTTGCTTTAATTTATACGCCCTTCTCTGGAGACTCAGGGCGGTTTACAATGCGCTAAGCAATAGCCTTCATACTTTTGTATATTTTATACAAAGTCAGCTTATTGCCCCCACAAACTGGGACCTCATTTTACCCACCTTAGAAAGGATGGAAGACTGAGTCAACCTTGAGCCTGGTGAGATTCGAACCTGCAGTAATTGCAAGCAGCAGATGTTAATAACTGTGTTTTAGTCCACTGTACTACAGACTGTTTCTTTTTCTTTTTCTTTCTCTTTCTCTTTTTCTTTCTCCTTCTCCTTCTCCTTCTTCTTCTTTTTCTTTCCTGAAACGTGTCTCCTTGTGTCTTTCAGATTCTCTTGGCCGCTTCAAAGCAAGATTCCCCAAGACGGACCAGGTTACAAGAATGAACAGAGTTCCTCTTATTAGACCCAAACACGAAGACTGTAAATGGTTTTGTAGCTGTGCTTATAAAACATGATTTGACTTTTTTTTGCATGCACATAGATGCAACACACACACACAGAGGAGGGGAAGTTATATCTTGGCTCTGATTGGAGAATTAATTATGGCTTGCAATTGGAGAGCCCTTACACGATATAGTAGAGCAGGGAAGTCCAATTTCAACAAATTGTTAAGACGAGTGGACTTCAACTCCCAGAGTTCCCCAGCCAGCCTGACATGCTGGGGAATTCTGGGAGTCGAAAGTCCCAAAGTCTTAAAATTCTGGGACTTGAAGTCCACAAATCTTAAAAAGTTGCCAAGGTTGGACACGCTTGTAGGTACTAGAGGGTAAGGAATAAAATTGTAATTTAGAACAGAAATTCTACAGCAGTGTTTCTCAACCTTGGAAGCTTGAAGATGGATGGACTTCAACTCCCAGAATCCCCCAGCCAGCGCTGCTGGCTGGGGGATTCTGGGAGTTGAAGTCCATCCATCTTCAAGCTACCAAGGTTGAGAAACACTGTTCTAGAGGGTTCCAGGGGTCGTTCCCGTATGTTTTAATGCTTGTTTGTCTATAGCCAGGTTCACACAATAGGAATCTTACTATTCTATTATCAAAGGTGGCTAGAGTTAACAACAGAGGTATAAAGTCGAGGAAATTGCGGGGACCCTGCAAAGAATTGACTCCCGTCTTCTCCGAGAATCTCGTATATAATGTTTCTAGGAGTCCGTTTTTGGCACCGAAGCAGACGGTTCTGCGCTCCAGATTAAAAAAAAACCTTTTTGTTATTTCTGCTATAAATGAAAATGATGTAGTTCAATAAAGATGATTTTTGTATCTTACGGTTTAGTTTGCTTATTGCCAGGAACTTCCATTTTTTCCCCATGTTTCTGCTCAGGTTAAAAGTTGCTGGTGTTGATTTGGATGCTTTATTATTATTATTATTTATTATTTATTATATTTCTATACCGCCTTTCTCCCGTAGGACTCAAGGCGGTGTACAGTCAAGAAAAATATAGACACACAAACATCATAAAATTAAAATATCTTTAAAAAGATATTTCTACTTTCGCAATCTCTGTAGTAGCCACGGTACAGGAAGTCCTCAGTTTACAGCTGTTAAGTCGTGATGGTCATAATGTGGCTCACCAGGTAAGTAGACTCGTCTTTATGGACTTGCTGTCATAAAGCAAACTTCCCAGTCATTAAGTGAGCCCGTGTTCACTATGGGCTGATTTTGGCAAAACACTGGTTTTCAGCAAAAATGTTATAAATTGGGGTTAAGGGGTTTGCGGGACGCCGCAAATGGCCACCAATGGTTGTTGGAATGTGGTTGTGTGACGGTGGGGTTGTGGCCTTCAGAACCAGGGCGTAAGTATCGAGAGAGGCAGGTGGGTCTGTTGTGTAACTTTGGCCATTTCACCAACCAGTTGTAAGCCAAGGACTGTTGTGGCCCGTCAGCGGCCTGTGCAGCTAGTAGCTGATTCAGACAGCGAGGAGGCTGGTTTGGTGCTGCGCCAGCAGCCTGTGCAGCTGGCACTCGAGTCGGACAGTAAGGAGGCTAGAGAAGATGTGGTGCCAGAGGCGGGGATTCAGCCAGGGCCTTCAGAACCTCCAGAAGCTCCCATAAGTGAAGAGGACGAAGAGGAGGAGCCTTTTCTCGATGCACAGGCGTGCAGAGCTGCCAAAAGGCAGGAGTGGTTCCTCAGGTGGAGGTCTCCACAAAAGTAAGGCTTGGGGCTAATTGGCCACTCCCTTAGCCTATTTAAGGAGGAACGCCGACTGAAGCAATTTGTAGGGAACAACTTTAGTTCACTCTCCTTCACGTCTTGATCTTAGTTCTCTGCAATTTGCTTGTGGGCTTTCTGCCAACCACAGTAAGATTACGATTATTTATTCTTTGGATTCTTGTAGGCTGTTAAGAAAGTTAATTAACAGCCTTTGTTTGAAAAATACTGGTTTAATTTAGTAAACTAAGGTTTGTACAGACTTCTGTGTGTGCTGTGTTCTTTGGGTCCGTAGCTGGGGCAAAACGAGGTCTTACCCGTATGTGCAGCTCAGGATGTAGTTAGCAACATGGCTGTTAAGTGAAACTGCCTTCCCCATTGGCTTGTCAGAAGGTCACAAAAGGGAGATCACGTAACCCTGGGACACTGCGACCGTCATAAATACGAGTCGGTCACCAAGTGCCCAAATGATGATCACATGACCACGGGGGTTGCTGCAAGTGTGGGAAACGGTCGTTAAGTTCCTTTTTTTAGCGTCGTTCTGTCATCATAAACTCTTCGTTGAGTGACCTTCGAACGGTCACTAAACGAACGGTTCTAAGTCGAGGACTACGTGTCCTGCCTTCCGATTATGTGAAATGCAGCAAATCTTGATTATGGAATTATGGAAATGAGTGAATATTGGGGGTTTAAAGTCTAGGGAAGGGGGAAAAAAACTCTCAAGAGTTTGTAAAAGTAAGCTATTCTTTATTAAGAAAATAAATCCATTTTCTACTCTTTTTAAGACAATATTAACCCCACTATGTAAAGTTGTGGGTGATTTTGTTCAGGCTTGGTTCATTTTTCCAGGAAGGGACGTGCCACATTCAAGTTTCGCAGGGTAAGGGAAACTGAAGATGATGTTTCTAATCCAATTAGTGCAAAGATTAGAACTCAATATTCCCCGTCCTTTGCCTGATTTGCTGCAGGAATATTTTGATGCCTCGCTTCTGCAGCCGTTTTGCCACGTCGACAATGACGACATCTCAAATGCGTATAATATACAATATTACAGCGCGAATTTCGCCATTATCGTGAAGGAGACAACCGTTAACATGAACAGAAATCCTTTAGCTGGAATTCAAGGACAGCTGACGGCAATTTAGGATCACTTCAATGTTCTTTAAATGTAAACCAGGCAAAAAAAATAAAAATAAACCCCACCAAAAGTTTTCCATCCACCAAAAATATTAAGACACGTTCTTTAAAAAAAAAAAAAAATACTGGGTATTTCCAGGCAATATCCTATCAACTCTAGTTCACATTAGGCGTTTTTAAAAGTCCAAAAAGACCCAAATTTCTTTTAAAGTTGCTTCCAACTTAAAAATGGGTGGGAAATTTCACGTTTTTCCTGAAATGAACCGTTCGCTCTTTCTAAATGTTAGCATCCTTGTTCGATTCGGGGAAGGGGGGGAAAACCTAACGGAATTAACGAACAGAACAAAATAGAAACGGTTTTATATTAACAGAACAAAATTAGAAATTCTGGAAGGAAATAACGCTAAGCTTCCAGAACAATTATGGCCCCGTCTTGTTTTATTTCATAAACTGCCGAGTTCCAGATTGTGCAAATAATTGAGGAAATTCTCTTTTATCGATGCCTGAAATCTCGAAGCATATGTCGAAACCATACGGATCTTGTTTCTCATTTTTGGGATCGTTTGCCGCTTTAGCAATAAAGAGGTACTCCCAAAAAGTAACTTTTCAGCCCTTAGTTAATGATATAAAGCTGCTGGGTTTGAACTTTTTCAGATGCATAAGGTAAATGCATGAAACTGTGCTTTATAAATTATCATTTATACAAAGCTGGCTCACGCTTTAAAAAAAAAAATAGCATCAAATACTTGGAAAAATGTTTCTAGGGCGATTTGAGGCTGCCTCACTTTATATGAGAATATAAAGTATTCTCATATAAATAATTATATATTTATAATACATAATAAATATTATAATATTTATATTTGTATTATAATATAATATTATAAATATATAATAAATAATATTCTGTCACTGCTTAGGAGGCAGAAATTTAAAACGATTTGGATAGCCCGCAAAAGAATCCCACATTTCCAGATTAAGACTTATTTATGGTGTAGTTTACTAAATCATTTTCAAGCCCAGTGTTTCTCAAAGTTATCCGTTTTAGGATAGGGGGAACTTCAACTCCCAGAATTCCCTAGCCAAGGCAGGCTGGAGAATTCTGGGAGTTGAAGTCCAAGCATCCAAAATGGTTGACTTTTTTTTTGTTTTTTTTTAAAAAAACCGTGTTCTTGAGCTAAATCTCATAATAATCTTTAATTATGACCGTTTTAGCTGCCATCCGATTGCCCATTTTTCATTTTTTGAATGAAAAAGTATATATAATTTTTTCTATGACACTTTTTTTTTTTTTTGGTACATTTTTTGAATGAATTGTTTTCCCTTAGAACGCTAACTCCTATCTCCTGAAATGGATGAAATGGATGCATAAATGAAGATAACTTCCCTTATAAAAGGCACAGGCGTTCGGCTTTTCAGGTTTTCAAGGATCTGAAAACAGATCCTGGTGATTTTTTTCCCCCCACGTGCCTCAGCGTAGGAAATTTTTAAAGCACAGGAGCCTACTAGGCATTAAAATCACATGCTCAAAAATCAACCTCTGAAAGATGTTACAGATACGTCGATGTCGGTCTCCGAGAGAAAATGGCCTCCGTTTTCGTAATGCGATGCTTGGACATCTTGCCTTCCCAGCCTTTAAATATCTCTGTACAGCCCAGGGAGAACTTCATCCCATATAACAGAAACGAACACAGATCCTGAAAGAAAAATAAAAATAAAAATTATTAAGCTATTTGGAAAAGGGAAGGAAAAAAAAAAGCAGATTAAAATAGGAGTGGGACAGCTCCTTGGGTGGAACGGTTTTCAAAGAGCGTGAACTATCTGTAAAGGTGATTCTCCACTTACAACCATCCATTTAGCGACCGTTCGAGGTTACAACGGTGCTTAAAAAAACACTGATTTCTGAATTCATATTTCGGAGACATCTGAAATAATATCGGGTTTCCTGCCTGAGCAGGAGACTGGACTAGAAGACTTCCAAGGTCTCTTCTCTTCTCTTCTCTTCTCTTCTCTTCTCTTCTCTTCTCTTCTCTTCTCTTCTCTTCTCTTCTCTTCTCTTCTCTTCTCTTCTCTTCTCCTCTCCTCTCCTCTCCTCTCCTCTCCTCTCCTCTCCTCTTCTCCCCTTTCCTATTCTATTCCATTCCATTCCTATTATTTCTTTCATTCCATTCCATTCGTATTATTTCTTTCATTCTATTCTATTCTATTCTATTCTATTCTATTCTATTCTATTCTATTCTATTCTATTCTATTCCATTCCTATTATTTCTCTCATTCTATTCTATTCTATTCTATTCCTATTATTTCTCTCATTCTATTCTATTCTATTCTATTCTATTCTATTCTATTCTATTCTATTCTATTCTATTCTATTCTATTCTATTCCATTCCATTCCATTCCATTCCTATTATTTCTCTCATTCTATTCTATTCTATTCTATTCTATTCTATTCTATTCTATTCCTATTATTTCTCTCATTCCATTCCATTCCATTCCATTCCATTCCATTCCAATTATTTCTCATTCTATTCTATTCTATTCTATTCTATTCTATTCTATTCTATTCTATTCTATTCTATTCTATTCTATTCTATTCTATTCTATTCTATTCCATTCCATTCCATTCCTATTATTTCTCTCATTCTATTCTATTCTATTCTATTCTATTCTATTCTATTCTATTCTATTCTATTCTTCTGTAGACTGTTTTTCGCATGAGTATTGCAGAATCTCCCATGGACACGTGACCAAAATTCAAACACTTGGCAACTGGCATGTACTTAATTTAATTTAATTTAATTTAATTTCGAATTTATATACCGCCCTTCTCCCTGAGGACTCAGGGCGGTGTACAGCCAAGATAAAAAACATAGAATACAAATATTAAAACATTTAAAAATATATATAAAATTTGGCCCAAAAAATTAAAAATCACAGACTAATTAAAAGGATTTAAAAATTTTAAAATTTCTTCTTA